TATATAGTAGTATATTTATTATAGTAGTATATTTTTATTAAAAACTGAATTTTAATATTATCAGGGTTTGATTAAGGATTGCCAGATTAAGGGTCAGTTTTTCCACTTTTTGGTAAATTTTACCTATGAAGAAGCATTTATTCTCGTCGTAATTGCCATAAGAATTGACCTGTAAGAATTGACCAATCACAATCGAATATTCCTCTCTTACAGTCAAATGAGAAGAGAATAATCGACTGTGATTGATCAATTCTTACAGATTATACGGTTATGACCAATCAATATAAATGCTCCTTAAGGATCGACAGAAGAAAGTATGGAGACTGATGGAGACCTCTAGTCTCTTCAAGTGCGATCAAGTGCGAAATATATTTCAGGTTATAAGAGAAAGAAATTACAAGTTTTAATTAATTTGTAATACAAATATGGTTTTCTTGTCGTTGAATCTTTTAACGAGAGCCCGCGGACCTGATGAATTTTGGCGAAAACGAAAAATATTCAAACTTGCCGCGGTAAGTGATTTGTCGATAAATAGATACTTCTAAATGCTTTTGATCAAAACATATTGTTAAAAAAATATATGGGAAAACTTTTAATGTTTTTAGCATTTTTTTGGTAGAAGAAGGAATTGTTACAGCATAGCTATCAAAGGCGTACATCGAGCTCTTATATACAGTACTATAGGCAGAAAATTGAAAAAAGAAGATATGAAAGAGGTATTTTAAAATTGATCAAAACACTTAAGAATAAAAATATGTATACGTCTATACATATAGAATTCATTTTTCTAAAATTTTATACCCCTCTTCTGCTTTCAGTTGCGGGAGCAAAGATTAGGAGCTGCTACGAGTGAACATGGTATAAATTTTACAATTCTCAGGGAAGGATTAACAAGATGTAACATTCTATTAAATCGAAAATCACTGACTGATTTGGCGATTTGGGAACCTCGATCTTTCAAAGCCATTACGGACATCGCATGTACGAGAGCAAAGCAAGATCATGTGAAGACTAAACTGAATATTCAAGTACCAAAGAATGTTATTGTAAGGGGTTTGATTAAATAATTTTCCATAAGTATAAAATGACAAGTTTTTTCCTTCTAATATATTTATTTGTTACTTTTGAGATATTTTCGAGTTCATGTTAATCATAATCGCATATCAATACTACAAAAGTTGCTAGACACATGATTAATTTTTTTTATGATACATCATTTGCGGCACCATAAATACATTTAATTACAAGAATCAATCATGTACAATTGTCCCACAACAATGCAACATCGAGTAATCTTTAGTAGCTATGCTGCAAGAGCTCAACATGATAAATGAAAATAGAACTCTGTGACATTACATTTTATCAGAACAGCTATATATGTTCAAACGGAATAGGCAACTTCTTGCGCGTACTCCGAATAAGAATAAATTTCATCTGAATATAATCTCATAAATATGTTTGTCAATGATATGTATATTCAACAACGAGCATTGATGATTTGTACAAATTCGGGCTTGAGTGACGCGCCACCAACCAAAAATCCATCGATATCCTTTTCTTTTGCTAAGTCTTTGGCATTGGCTGCTGTCACGGAACCACCGTAAATAATTCGTAAAGTTTGTGCAACATTGGGATTGATGTTCTTGGACAACCACTCTCGTAATTTTTCATGAACTTCTTGCGCTTGCTGAGGCGTCGCAGTTTTACCCGTACCAATGGCCCATACTGGTTCATAAGCCAAAACTACGTTGTCCCAAGATTTAATTTTATCCGCTATTGCCTTGGTTTGCCTATAAACTACTTCTTCAGTCTTTCCTGCTTCGCGCTCTTCCAATTTTTCGCCTATACATGCAATCACCTGGAAATGTCAAAAAATATTTTTTTCTCTCTCTTGCTTTTATTACAACGAATCATGTTGCATTATGCGCATGTTATTTTTCTACATATAATTTATGTCAATTCTCTGAACATGCATATATATATATATATATATAA